GGCATTGGCCTCGAATTAGTAACCCAGACGCAGGGGTGCGCCAATAACGCCTCGAGTAGCACAGATGGGGAGACAGGGGTCGAGTGAAATACGTGAACCAGGGAGAGAGCAGACGAATCTTACGGGGCAAGAGAGAGACTGTGATAAGATCTAGGTGAAGGACTGCGTTACAATATTGCAGACTCTGATCAACATTCTCAGCACAAGGGTGAAAGGGGGTGAGAACGACAGAGTGGAGTGTGAAGGGTTTTCATCAATGCCGCTCAAAGGAGTACGCTCAATAAGCACGGTAAAAATTGTGACAGTGAAGGTATGATAGGAGGATATTGGAAATGTGAATAGGCCAGGGCAGAAGGGGGGATACCACAACCGTTTAGCACACGTTTGGTCTCTTTGACGAGTTATAGTGTGGTGCTACGAATGGCGAGACTCACTGACGATGCCGACTACGATGCCGGTGAAACGTCTGGGAAAGTACCACATCGACGGTCCAACTTTGGAAATAATCATGCATACAATGGACTCCGGACTAGGTACGTTCCTCTAAGTCTTCCTACCAATGTAACTTAATTGCGAAAACAAGATCAAACAACTTCTATAAGACTCTTATTCACCAGACTTAGCCGGCAAGTGACTTAGTTTGAGGCAATAAGTGGACTGGTAGTTGAATTTTCCCACAATGATGTGAGTAGACCTTACGCTTCCACTGAATTTCACAGCCTTGCCTCCCGACAGCTATTCTCATCCAGGGTGGACTGCAGTTTCGACCTTGCCTAGATCTTGTCAACCCCCCGGTGGGACTCGAATCATGACAGTGCAGCGTATAATCTCGGCACGTTAACCACTACGCCGCATTGTCGCACTTGGGCCACAGAGCATATATGAATTTAAAGGAAGGCCAGGCATTTTTCCATATCACAATCTTTGATGGGATTATCGATAAAGCAAAGCTATTGCTATAGCAATCGACTATGTTATTTATTTTTCGTTTATGAGTAGGTTTTTGATATTTATTTTTTGTTAATGGCCTCACTCTATGATGGTGTCTACAACATAACAGCCGAAAGATCAACATGGAATCATTGAGGTTTCAGTCACAGTTCAGTCAATCTTGCTGCGATTTCTAGTGAGGCCAAATTAGGAATCCATTACAATTCGTTTCTTATTTAAAATGAATGGTCCAGTGACATGAACTCGACTGATGATCGACGTGTATAAAGTTATTTCTTGTCTCATCTAGTTTTCATAGGCTATCTTATTTTGCATAGTTGTATTGACTATTATTGCTGTAAAATTATGTAGCTAATAGTAATAATTTTTGAAGCCGCTTAAAGATATTGTTTACTAAATTCGCAATTTCATTTGTTTTGTAATGACAGATTTTTGATCGCATGCTGATCCTAGTTTCGTATATGCGTCGGGTGCTCATATATTACCAGGTACCAATATAATTGTTGAACATTTCGTTAATACATATATATATATATATATATATATATATATATATATGCATGTACATATTATGATAGTTAGCACTACCCAGGCCATATAAATCACATCACCAACACATGCAAGACTAACACAAGGCAACAATGTCATCCAGACAATCAAAATAACACACCCCTGTTGATGCACAGGTAATTTACATGAGGAGATATAAATGAAAAGTTCTAGCAGGAATAAATAAGTATAATTTTTGCACTTGTATTCTAACGAACTTCCATGGTTGGTTGCCGAAAACAGCTAAGTGGCTAAAATCAATATTAACGTGAACCAAGATAGCATCTTTAAAAAAGAGGACTTCAGTTCGAGTA